AGGCTCGCCGAGTCTTTCTCGACGCGAGTCAGGCTCGCCGAGTCTTTCTCGACGCGAGCCAGGCTCGCCGGGCCTTTCTCGACACGAGCCAAGCTCGTCGAGTCTTTCACGACTCAAGCCAGGCTCGCCGAGCCTCTCTCAACGCGAACCAGGCTCGCTGGGCCTTTCTCGACACGAGCTAGGCTGGCCGGGCTATTATCTACACGAGCTAGGCTCACCGGGCATTTCTCTTCATGAGCCAGGCTCGTCGAGCCTCTCTCGACACGGGTCTGGTTCGCGAATCTCACTCTCACGTGCACGAGCGTGCTCTTTGCCTTCGTTGGAGCCCACGCGTGCGTGCAGCGTCTCTGACAGGTAATTCATTGGGTTTGAGTAACGACTGGGGCGAATTTAGTTAGGCCACTGTCCGTACGCATTCTTTCTATCATCATCCTTGGTCTCTCCACTCCTATTAAAGACAATCACTTACAAGCATTACTCTACTCAATGTAACACTATACCACACACATCGGGAGACCGGTAGGAAGCTTGGAGCTTATCTCTGCTGGAGGGGGAAAACCTCGCCAGCTGACATGAAGATCGGCGCTGAGAGAGGAACACCGTTACCGCCCCGGTATAACACGCAGTATACTCAACGGAACGAATTGCCAAAACAGGAGGGGTCGTGTCCAGCAACACTAACTACTCTGGCTGAGTGTCTGAGGCGCGCGTCTCGTGCTGCGCAGGAGGAGCTGGCTTCGAAGGGCGAGCGCTGCAAGCCGGCGTCGCCGCCCCCGCGCGGCGTCTTCTACCCGCGCGACGAGCTGCGCTGCGCCGCCGCCCTCGCCCACCCGCCCGCCGCCGCCGCCCTCGCCGCCGCCGTCGCCCTGCTGGCCGCTCTCGCCGCCCACGCGCTGCGGCTCCCCGGCGCCCTATGACCTCGGGGCCAGCCTAGTCCAAGCAATTAACGACGGGTGGACCTTTTCGTGGTTGCAGTTTTAAGAGTTGGGTCATTGATAGTTTAATGCGGTTTGTATCAAGGATGGGTTGGATGAGGGTTGTCGATTTGCGACCGATATTATTCTTCAAAGTGAATTGCCATAGTTGGATGAACGTCACGTTTCGTCTTTGTAATTCTCGAATTAGAATATCGATAGAATTTCGTTTTGTGACAAGGATGATTTGGGCAAAGGTTACTGATTTGTAAGTGAACCGATAGGATTCTTTTCAAGTGAATTGCTGTGATTGTATGAACAAAACGTTTCGTATTTGGAATGTGCGCATTAGGAATGGTCATTTTAGCTTGTATTTTCAATAGTCAACGTGGTAAGTGATTTGCAAGAGAATGAATACAAATCCTTTTCAACATGATTGATGTGGTTGGGTATACAGAACGTATTATACAGGATGTCCAAGGAGGAAACAAAAAAATAAGTTCTTAAGATAATTTTAAGCATATTTTGTCTTATAAACTCGTTTGATATTTCCAACGGCTGAGCTGCAATAAGTACTCAAAAGTTGGTTTATAAAAACACTCTGTTCGCAAAAATGTGCATTTCATAAACATAGAAACACCTCAGAAACGCGTAAATTGTTCATTGTTTACAGAAAATGAATATATTTGTTCACAAAGAAAATTACACAGAAATACAACCCAATTTGCGGAATTCAATTTCAATTGCTTTTTTATTTGTTTTCATTGTAGTAGTGTTTTTTTGAACTAACTTTTGTCTGCTTATTGTGGCTCAGCCATTGGAAATATCAGAATTTATAAGGCAAAATATGCTTAAAATTGTCTTATGAACTTATTTTCGAAATTTCGTTTTTTCTGCTCTGGACACCTGTATAATAAATTTTGGAATTCACAGTATCTATATTTCGTTGCAGCATAATACTCAATGTTATTGATTTGCGAATTGATGGGTATGATCCTTTTCAAGTGAATTACTGCTGTTAGATGCTTGTTTCGATTCGTATTTCAATTTTTCGAATTGAAAACATTTGTTTCTATGCAGCAATTATTGAGTTGTCAAGATAAATTAATTGATTAGTGGTGATAGAATGTTACTTGTGAATAATGAATCTTGTTAATGGAATTAGCATAGTTGGTTGAACAGAATAAGTATTTCAAACTTGCAAGTTCAGAACGGTTCAAGAATGATTTCCAAGTGTGCAAATGTGAATCTTTTTTAGTGCTAAGTGTTTCACAAATTTATTAATATCAACTTGTTAATGTACTAGGTGATTTGTTGTGTGTTGTAGTGACCCAAACATGGGACGAATTGGGTTTTTAAAATATTTTTTCAGGGTGAAGTGAAATATTTGAGACATCTAGATGTGCTGGAAGAAAACACTTCATATAACATTTGTGTCACTTTCAATAGAATGAGTGTTTAAACAGTAAGAAAACCAGGAGTGCTACTTCAGAAAATGCATCAGAAAAGCATGTTCAGATATCACATCTGCAGATCAGAAATGCTTTTGTTCTACCATGGTGCCTCAGAGTAAATATTACAAACATCTAAAGAACAGCAAAAGTTGAAGATAATCTCTTTTTTGCCCAGAAACATGTGCAAAATCTCATGTAACAAAGTTACATATGTAGGGCTTGAGGGAAATTTCATGTAAATATGTTTCACAATTGGTAAGCTATTGAACTAGTGAATAACAGGTAATCGAATTGCATACCTGCCAAACACCAGTGCTCGTCTAGTTACTTATCTGTCAGGGGCATGTGTCACATTGATGCGTCTCACATAGCATGTAATTTCGCTTTATGAGATTTCCCACCACATGCTCAATAACAAAATGTAACAATCTTAATCTCCCTAAAATGCCCTAGAAGTTTGTGACATTTATTCTGGTGCACCTGTAGAATAATATTTTAAAATTTCACTTGTAAGTGAAAGAAAATGTGTATATTGTAGGAAACAAAAGAGAGAGAAAAGTAACATTCCTATTTTCATTCCTAGTTTCATGAGTACCTACTCTATTCCGGTTTGTCTAAATAATATTCTCATCCTACTTTGCAGTCTTAGAATCTAGGAAATGTGTCATTTCTGTTGTGTGGGAGAATTGCTTTATTTTATGTTGTTGCTTATTTCCTTGCAAAAGGTTAAAGAATAAAAGGTTAATATTATTTAGTATACATGAAACATGATGATTTAATTAGCTTAGTCATTGTGATACTTTCATTTATTTAATACATTTAAGAACAATTTGCTAATTGTTTTGTGAGATTACTATTTCTTTTTGAAGATGATGTCTAATATTACAAGATAACAGTGGTTGGTCTATATTTATGTATTTTCAACTAGCTCTATTTAGGTTTAAATAATATGGAATGGGTGAGATCGCAGTCATCTGATGATGTTAAATCATTGTTATATTTTCTTGTGTATCAGACAGATGAATGACCTGTGTGTAAACTTTAATATTAGATGTCCCTTTTTGGTGTTCTCTTGTTAGTGGGCAAAGTTTTGTTATGCCCCCGTAATTTCTATGAAGAAAATATGAATGGACACATTGCATTGTAAAGTAACAATCAGTATTCCATCAGAAACAGTTTGCAAGCCATTTGGATCTTGCATTTTGTATATTTGTATATATTGTACATATATTAAATAATTTGTAAATATTAGAGTTATGTTGCCAAAGAAACAAAAAAAAGGTTCCAATTTAGAAGTATAGAGTTTATCATAATGACAATATTTAAATGGAACTATTCTATGTTCAAATTTCTGGGCGCGATTGTGCTCTTCTTTTCTGAGATAATGTACGAGTAAAGGCTTTTGTAATATTGCAGAGTTTTAAGAATTCACAGAGCCTTTCAAAAACAATTGCTCACTGGTGCCTGGGTCACATTTGTATTCTCTACACAGCGGCCTTTTGTACTTTTCTATAATGGTGATGTGTGAGAAGAATAATTCCTCATGGAATAGTGCAAGGCTCCATCTTTAGCTCTGCCAACACACTTCTATATTATACTGAACTTGGCTGACTTTCTAGTTTTTGTTTATTTTTTCTTTGAAAGTAAATTTTTTTCAGTTTTACATGTAACAAACTATATCATTGGTTAACATTTCTGTGGGAAGAATGCAATAACTACAAATTAATAAATTTGACTTACAATTCTATTTTGTATTAAAGAAGAAATGTGTTGGATAGAGGGACTGGCTGAGAGGTTCATTGAAAACCATATTCACTGCTCTATTAGAGATTTTTTGAAATCTGACCTAAACATGTAAAATCAGCTTCATAAAATTTCAAAGTCATATTTCTCGTGAACCAGTTGTGAGTTTTGTAAACAAACAATATTTATTCCATGTATGGCTTTTCTTATTCATAAAGAAATGGAATTTCCCTATGTTATTCACAGAGGTGTATCCAGGTATTCAGGTGCCTGCATAGAACTTGCGCCACTATCAGGTTACTTTGTTATTTGTATTTGTGGTCATACTGTAAATACTTGTAGCGCCCTATGTGAGTGGCACCCGTGGCACGTGCCATCTCCGCTGTGCCATAGATATGCCTCTTGATTATTCATTTTGTAGAAAATATTTTGCATGTTTATATTAAGTGAGAAAATCTGTTATTGGTTTGATACTTCATGTGTATGTTTAATACAAATATCATTTGATTTAGACTGTATATTAATTGTATTTTTATTTAGATATAATTTTTATTTAACCCAAATTTAGCCTTTGGTCAGAACAGTAGCAAGCAAAATTTTTATGACTTAGGGTTCACAGATTATAAAATAATGATTCTAGTAGTCCCTGTCCATTTCATGTTCAAACAGATAAAATACTTTCATCTTGATACACTTGAACTCATCTGGTTTACTTCTAATTAGCCTTCTCTTTGAAGCAGTCTGAAAATGGAGCTTTCGCTGGTTGATCAACTTCTGCACTTGACTGAGGGGATAGAATGTTTGATGTACAGTCAGATGGAACACTTGTGCTTCTATTTACTTGTGCTTTACCTGCCCTCATAATTGTCACTCGTAGCGTGCAGAGAAGAGCTTTGAATGTTAGGTATTGTTCTACATTTCTTAAATTGTATTGCTAAAGTCCAAGATTTATTTTCTTGCTTATTTCATAAATTCATGCTGAGTTTCCTCTGCACTAGAAAAACCACAATTGAATTGTGGATAAAATGCACAGAGTTCAAATATTCTGATAGTCTTTGACCTCTGGCATTACTTTTCATTTTCTCATTTTCACTATTTGCTCTTCTTGCGTGTGAGAGTTTTCTTGTTAATTGAGGGAGTTGTTGATTACAACTTTTTAGTGTGTTTGCCCTGTACATCTCAGGATGAGAAACACATTTCTTAAATTAATGTATTTTTCAGTCATAAATGAAAATAATTACAGGTAATGAAGAGTTAGTTGTGTTCAACTACCTATTTATTCAAGGATTGGGTGCAATATGCATTACTGCTTATTTATGTCTCTTTATCATTAAGAATTAAATAGAGAACTGTAGAACTTGCAACAGTTCCTGCTAATCCTGTTCTCTGTACTTCCTGACTTTGTATTTGGTGAATTTTGAATGTCCTTGAATAATATCAAGTACAAACGTTTGTATTGCATATTAATGCATCCCATCCTTCATATACCGAGCCTTAAATATTTTGTGAGGCACGTTTCTAATGCATTCCAATAAATGAGATGTTCATCTTTGCCCAAGAAATTTGCGGATTTGTTTACTGCTAGAAAGAATTGATTTTGTTATCCAAACTGCCTTTTTATCATCCTGGCTGTGAAGATTTGGATGGACGTTTCTTGGGTGAAGAAATACAACTATAAGACATTTAATGTTATTTTACATATCATTGTATTATTTTGTACATTTTGTTACCATATCCTTACTGTATACAAAAGTATATGTCAAAAGACTGATGGGTCAAAATGTTCTTGAATCTTTTCCCATTCAGAATGTAGAAGTCCAAGAATAAATTCATGATAATTTACTGCCTTTGAGTTTCTTCTCTCCCTCATTAATGTAATCACAATAAAATTTAAAATAATATTTATGCAAAATTATCAATGTAGATAACAGGTTATATACAATACAATAAAAAAATTGCATTTCAAGATAAGTCAGGTAAAACAAGTAACTGAAGAGAGTGAGATTCTGTATTGTAGTGCTGCAGACCAGAATTGCTGACAAAAGTGGCACTTCCGTTAGTGAATTTCATCCAATTGAAATGGAACCTCTTTATCTATTGTGCAGATGTGATTTACAGGTGCCCAGAAATTTCTTCTATGCACCAAAGGGTTTTCGCAAATATGCTCTGTCTACTACTCCCCGTGGTGGATACTCAGATTGACATGAAATTTTACCAGCTAATGGAACTCACGAGTCGTACGCAATTCTCGTCTCAAATGTTCGGGCGCTTTGAAGGATTCGCATAATTTATTATGGAGAGTTTGCTTCATCGCTAGCATACTTTTGAACATCGTTGAATTGTCGCATTTAAAGAAAAAATTTCAATTCACGAGCATAAAGATTTGAAAACATTAAATTATGTGAAATTTGTAAAATAAGTGTAAGGATATGTAATAACAAATACAACCAACGAGATCCCCATTCCATTCTACATTACAATCCTAAACCATTTATCGTAATCACCATATGTGATTTAGAGGTGTGGGCGGTCACAATCCAGCTCAAATGACATCCAAGAAACAGATGAAATATCCACTGTCACCTGATTTCAGCCAGATATACTCATAGCAAGACTGATGACAAAGTCTGATGACCTTTGACGAAGTCGTCAAAAGTCTCCATAAATCGAAGTTCAAGGACTTCATCCTTTCATCATAGTTTCATTCTTTAATATTCGTCAACACCTCATGAACATTCTCACGAATTTGTTTAGCGCCGAGACGCACGCTTGATGGTGGAAGCTGGATGGGCTGGGGGCCAGGCCCTCGAATGACCATGGCGCAAGTCACTTCTCCTCGCCCCGAGTACGCGGCCCACATGCGACCTAAGGAGGTAGTAGAGCGAGAGTGCGCGAGAAGAACTCCAGAGTGCACTACGATTCCCAAAGTAGTGTGGTTATTTCGTTCCTAGGTAGCGCTACTGTCAACCCACGGGTAATGAAAACTTTTGCTACTAGAATGCGTGCTGTATACACAGCATGCTTGAAAGCAACAGACGACCTCTTTGTATATCCTGAAAGCTGGATTATGACTTGTCGCAGAGCCCATGCTTGTTCTCTTCGCGGGCGGGCTGGTCGGACACGAAAAACTCGCTCGCTCGCCACCCAAGGCCCAGAAATGCTTTCAGTGGTTTTTAATTTGTTTAATTGTCATTCGCATGTGCACAATTACGTATTTTGCAAGTAATAAATATCTGATTCGATCTCTTGGCAGAGTTTATACATGAAAAGGATCTGGAAAGGTATTTAAGTACTAGTGGCCTAATAGCGATAGACCTACTAGTCTAATAGCTAGTAGGCCTTGCTGAGCGCTGAATCTGTCGCAACTGAATCTGTGGTTGCATAACGAACCGCTCCGACTTCTCGGGTTCATTCAACGCCTCACAGTCCAATTCCACAACTTCAGCGGTCACAGGTTGCAAGAGATTGTTGCTACTCGAGGGTTAATGCTTGTAGGTGCTCTAGTGCCAGCGTGACACACCCATCCATCTCAGATTGAAGAATCATCACAAAAGAAAGTCGTAATGTTCGTCCCTCAAGTGTCGTGTTGACGCAGATGGGGGTGAGGGCTTCGTCAGCTCTTTGCTCCTGCGCCAAGAGCGGCTTTACATTACACTCGACAATGTCGCTCGCATTCAGGGTCGTAGTTTGAAAATAATCATTATTTGCTACCTACATTCATTACCATTTATACCACAATTTCTTTCCGAATTAACACATCTCAGTGATCATTTTTTGTAAAACTCGCATTTGAAATCGTAAAACATTTAGTAGGAAAGTAACCAGTATGCGAGAAAGTAAAATAATTAAAAGTTAATAAATCATACGACACTGATAGCGTTGGCAAACAAATGCAAATAGATGGAAAAAATATAATATTAATTATTAAATACTATGGTATTGAAATATTCTACAAATATATAAAATCATTAGTTTATATTACCGCGAACAAAAGAAAGGCCATCGTCATTATTGCCTTGTTATCAGTGCGGCGATGCAACAATGGGTTACAATAAGCAACAATGACCGCTCTCTATTGGCTTTGAAAGCGGGCGACTGAAGGCTACCAATCTTCAATTTATTTCAATAGGATTTAGCCACTTTTTCGTTACCCTGTAGTAATAAAGTTTTTCTGCCGAAAATTTGCCGGTTTTTCGCGCAGCATTACATTACTTTCTCTTCTGAAGAAGTTTCGTCGTAAAGCATGAGAAAGTAAATTTAGTTTATGTTTGAAGTCAGAAAATCAACAGATTAACATGTAAGTTGGAAATCAATGTAAGAAAGCAATTCTACGAAACCTATATTTTTCTCTCGTACTGGTTGAATTCGTCTCTTCGAGTGCTTTTGCCGAAAAATATGCACTTTCATTTAGAAAATCAATGTCTCATAACATAAAATGTTACAATCTAGAAACAGAAATATGTTAGTTCCCTCATAATCTACAATAATTCGGCGCAAACCGCATACCTATACCTCAGTTACGAAAAATATCCACTGCAGCCAACAAACATCCTGGCCCCACCGCGGCCGAGGGCGGGGCCAGTACAGCAATGCCTGCCACCCTCGAATGACCATGGCGCAAGTCACTTCTCCTCGCGCCGAGTACGCGGCCCTCAGGCGGGCAAAGGAGGTAGTAAAACTCTGCGCGAGAACTAGTAAACTAGTGCGCGAGAGGAACTCTAGAGTGCACTACGCTTCCCGAAGTAGTGTGGTTGTTTCGTTAATAGGTAGCGCCACCATCAACCCATTGGTAGTGAAAACTTTTGTTACTAGAATGCGTGCTGCGCTGTATACACAGCAGAAGCAACAGACGACCTCTTCGTATGTCCTGAAAGCTGGATTATGTCTTGTCGCAGAGCCCATGCTCGTTTTCTCTTCGCAGCCGGCGGCTTTTTTCTCCCCGCTGTGTCGGACACGGAAACAACAAGTAAGTCGCTCGCTCGCCCAAGGCCAGATGCTTGCTTCTCAGTGGTTCCTAATTTTCTTGCAAATAATAAATCTCGGGTTAGAGAGTTTTTTTTTGAAAATTACCTAGGATGGCATTTGAGTCTAGTCTTGACACTAGTTGCATAAGTCATATAGTTTGCCTTTAAGCGTTCTGACATTGCTGACAGCTGACTGCATAACGAACCGCTCCGACTTATCGGGTTCATTAACCAACTCCACAGTCCCAGTTCGCAGAAGATTGCTGTTCAAACGTTCGTTGATGCTTGTTGTTGTAGTAGTTGTGCCAGCTTGACACACCCATCTCAGATTGAAAAATCATCAAAAAATCGTCCCTCGCGTGTCGAGTTGGCGCAGATGGAGGAGGGGGGGGTGAGGGCTCCGTCAACACTTGCTCCTGCGCCAAGCGCGGCGCAACATTTCACTCGTCGCTGTCGCATTCGGGGTCATTGTTTAAAAATGAATCATTATTTGCTACCTTCATACAATTTTGTTCATTCATTTATTCAACCACATTATTCATATCAATTAAAACCCAACATTAGCATTGTAAAACGTTTATTTACCCAAAATTTTATAGCATTTTCGTGAATTCCCCACGAGCGAATGGCACCATGTCGAAAATCCGTTTACAGGTGGTGCCTGGTCCCCCGACCTCGGGTTGATGAAGACGTTTGCTGGTCGTGGGGGGGGGGGTGTCTTCGTCAGAGGTTGCTCCTGCGGCGGCGCCGGCTGTCCTCGTCGCTGTCGCTGTCGCGGTCTGGGTCGTGCTCGTCGCTCGCGCGCATCACCGCCAGCTCCTCCTCCGTGAGCAGCGTGCTGGGGCGACGCCCGCGCGGCCGCGTCGCCACCACACTGCGCCGAGCCCAAGCACGCACTGGTTAACCAACGCGGGAATGCGATGAAGAGGTACGGTGTATTGCTTGTCATGAGGCGGAGTACGCACTTGTTAACCGACGCGCGAATTGAATTAATAGATTACGGTGGTAATGGGGCAAAGTAGGTACTGGTTACCAAACACGGGAATCCGATTAATAGATTACGGTGTATTGAATGAGGCAATGTAGACACTGGTTACTCAAAACGGGAATGCGATTAAAAGGATATGGTGCATTGCATCGGGCAATGTAGGCACTGATTACCCAAGCATTACAGGAATGCGATATACGGTGAATTACATGACATGAGAAAGTAAGTACTAGTTACCACACAACGGAATACTTTTAATAGGATACGGGGCAGTGCATGCCATGGGGAAAGGAAGTACTGATTTCCAAACAAGAGAATACTATTAATAGAATACGATGTATTGCATGTCATGGGTAAACGTAGGCATTGGTTAGGCAGCACAGGAATGCAATTAATACAATTCGGCGCATTGCTTGCCTTGAGGCCAAGCAGGCACTGATTACCCCATGTAGGAATACAATTAATAGAATACGGAGCACGTACTTAAATACAAGTGTCTCAGAATAAATGTTACAATTTTAATGGCATGTAAAGGTGTCGAAAATTATTACTCTTTGCCAACAAATATTTAGTGAGAATATAACTGAATTCCGCGTATGATTTTTTATTCTATGTGTTACTCAACCCCGGATGCACAGATGTTTGGAATGTTTATACTTGTAATTCTGCTTCCTACGAAAGGACACTTTTTCTCTTATGTGGCGTTTATGGAGATTAATTATGATCACTTTTTGCCAATAAATGTGAGGTGGGAAATTTCACATAACTACTTTTAAACTTGTGTACCATCCCTCAACAACGGTTAGACTATTTTTAGTGCACCGTTTGCAAAGAACGAGGTGTCATTTCACGCATTGCAGTCTGCCGGTGGGGAAATTAATATTATGTTCCTATCTTAATCCAGTTACAAATCTGAAATTTATAAATATTAAAAGACTTTTAAAGCTGTTTAAAGCGTCACTGCGGCCACACTACGCTCCTAAAAATCTCGAGGGAGTAATGAGAGCGTCGGCTTGAGCGGGGTGAGTATTCACAAGGCTGTCTGGGAGACGCCGCGTCCGAAGCACAGGTGCCTGCGTTTCGGGCTCTATTCTGCGACCTTCCTAAAAGCGTTCAGGAACGAAGTCCGGCATATGTGTTATATCTCGCCGTGTGAGAAACAGGAAGAGTTGTAAATTTGCTATCTCTGTTAATCTTGGTAAATTGGGAGTTATACGATGATAAAAAAATTGGTTCTAAGAATGTGTTTAAATATAATTTGCAGGTCATTATGCAGTTTAAAGGGAAAATTTATTTTTCTTTTGTACGTGAAAGTGCTTTATGTTTGAACGATGGTTGCGTTTGGACAATTAATGTTCAGAGTGTACAAAATGAACGGTCTTGGATTAGTTATAGTACTAAAGAATATTTCAGTTGTATTTACAAAGGTGTTACAACCAAGTTGTTTAGTTTTGCTTATAAGGCGTACCATTGGGCGAAATATACCAAGATTTTTTTCAATGAAGAATTCCTTTGTAATAAATCATTCGAATTATTGTAGGCAATTAGAAAATTTATGTTCCGTGTGTTTAGTTGATCGTGTGTTTCTTTCGTTGTTCCACGTTTGGCTTCTTTCGTTGTTTCACGGCATTTCGCCCTGAGGAAGGTCGACAACTTGGCCTTTGACGCGGTATCTGCCGCCCCGCCAAGTAAACCCAATCTCGCGGGTGCGGCCTCACGTGGAGGGTGGCGGCGGCGGCGGCGGCTCGGCGGCCGACCATTGCGTGCGCGCGTCCGTCAGCGGCACGAACACCGACTCCATCTTCTTGGTGGCCTGCACCCGGCCGTCCGCGCCGCGCTGCAGCACCGTCAAGATCTGGTGGCCCAGCTCGCCCACCGGCACCACCATGCGCCCGCCCGGCGCCAGCTGCTTCACGAGCTGCGCATGCCCACGCACTCGTCGCCACCCCACCCCACCCCACCCCACCCCACCCCACTCGACTTGCGGATCGTTGCTTTT